CTTTACCAGGAGCCTCACAGGAGTGATGGAGGGGGCCGTCCTCTCCATCCTCAGTCATCCTCTTCTCATGTCTGAGTCCAGCTGTGGTGAGGTGGATGAAGCGCTCTCATTTTCAAGTGGCACAAGACCTGTTCAGACACACGGCGGAGTTTGTTTTACTGACATGGCCTTCAAACGATCACTTTACTGTCTGATATACGTTCTGATATCAGCCACGGCAGAGGGTTACTGCATCAAATACCCAATCAGTGGAAACAACAAACATTTTTGATTTCAAGCAATTAAAAGCAAGAGCTGTAGCTAAAAAAGACAAAGCACATGAGCTAACGCAATTACTGCTTGTTTCAACAACTTTAATGCTGAACGAAAAGTCCCGTTAAAGTCTACTTTAACAATTCTACTTAAGCCATCATCTAAATCACGTTTACATACACAACAATGTCATCTGTTAAGCTTTTCTCTTCACTGGATAACAACCTGCAGCTGCAGCTAACAAAGCTAAAATGCTAAAGCTGTGCTAACTAATGCCTAAAGCGTACGTTTCTGTGACCACATTAACAAACGGATAACTTTGGTAGTTTCTGTCGTTTGCACTAACAATTTATGTCTCTTTTATCAGGCTGAAAGTAAAGCTACCTTTTGTGCACTGTTGGTGTTAGGGTGACTGACCAAAAGTAGCTCCGTGACTTCCTTAGCAACGCTTGACAACACAGATTTCTGTTACCAAGAGAGTCGCAGTCTGAACTCAGCATGTATCACAGCGCCCCTGTGTGCTAAGAAGGGGTATTACTTCCATACCTGTGCGTCAACTACTAGGATAACCACCTGCTTTCTCATTTCTGCAGCTTACACATCTTCGAATCATTTCCAGGGAGCTTCTTCTTATACGAGGAGAGAGGACTCCAGGCAACAGACATCTGACCTAAATTAGCCTACTAAGAGGCTAATTTTTACTAAATTTACACTGTAGCTCAATGTGCTGGCATAAGAACTCTGTAACACTGTGAGTATACATTTTCAACATATAAGTATTAGTAATACTTAAAAAACAAAAAGACAAGGCAACTCACCTCTCAGAACATCACCAAAGTTATTGACAACACTGCTCAAATCCAAAGTCCATCCTGCGCTCCTATTCCCTTCCTCTTTTGAGCACCACTTTTTTTGCTTTGGCTCTCTAAATATATCATTTAAAATGCCAAGAAAAAATGTTATATAATTGACATCAAAAGACTCATGGGTGTTTTATAAAAATGACAGAGAACAAAGGTCAGGAAGTACAAGTAACATGCCCATCAAAATGTCATAAAACATGCCTATTTTAATCAGTGTTGTGTAATACGATTGAGTAGATATTTGCAGCTACAATTTAATTTCTAATTTTCTTACAATTTGTCCACTTTGCCTCACATCACAATCAAGAGCATAGCCTTTGTTCTCAGCGAGTAGACCTAAAGATGATCTAAGCTTTGATCTGCCATTCAGCTGCGGTTCTCGTACATCACAGCGTCAGGGAGTGGGTGAAAGGGTTAACAATCGGAGGTCACACCTTGACATTGTTTATTCAGTGTGACTTACACTGTTTTGTCAGCAGCAGCGTTTTTCTGCCGTTTCTTTGTGCTATTTGTAAAGTGACTGACTTTAACGTGTTGTAGTGAATGGAAAAGCTTTTGTCTTTTCATGAAAACACCCAGACAAGCATTTTTTTTCAATCAACTGAGCTAAACTAATGACGGCAAAATAAGTTGAACAGAGGAACTTGGATATTAGCAATGTAGTGCACAATAATATTGAGCGATTGAGTAAATAAAAGTCAGAAGTTTAAGTTCAGAGTCCATAAACGTAATTCTTTATCATCTGACTATGGCCAAATAACTAGTAAATGTATCTGACTGGATTATAATTTAAAGGATTATAATTTATAGCCCCATAGTATGTTTCTTTAAAAAAATCTTTGTAAGCTGACTAATGCTTTTAAATACATCATTCAAAAATATACTGGATATATATATATATATGTATATATATATATATATACACACACACATATATACACATATAATATATATATATATACATATATATATGATCTAAGCTTTGATCTGA